CATGCAGCGGGTAAGGGAGAGGCTGAGCATCCCAGCTGGACAATCCAGACTTCCACTGACGATAAATAATAAGATCATGACAAATTCGTTTGCAATAACCCAGCCGTTGTCACGTATGTTCGCGTACCGTAGCACTGTTGGTTTATTTAAAGATGCAAGAAGCCAATTTCAGCAGGTCAAAATGGTGGTGCCGAAGCCCATCACCGAAATAGTCGATAGTCGCACTTAACTTGCAATGCCCCGCCGTGGCGGTCTAGTGGATAAGGCACTCGGCTGCTGACCCGCAGGTCGCGGGATCAAATCCCGGCTGCGGTGGCTGCATTTTCGATGGAGGCGGAAATGCTGTAGGCCCGTGTGCTCAGATTCGGGTGCACGTTAAAGAACCCCAGGTGGTCGAAATTTCTGGAGCCCTCCACTACGACGTCTCTCATAATCATATGGTGGTGTTTTGGGACGTTAAACCTCACATATTAATCTTATCGTACACTCTTAAAAAAGTAGTAGTACTTGCTAACTTTGAGGTAGTAAGTTATAAACGTCGAGGGGGGTAACAGTTACATCCTTTGCCGTTACCAACCCCACATATCAATCAATCATCAGTTAACTTGCAATGCTTAGGTAGACACTGATTGCATGGTGACTACATACGCCACCGGCATATCTCAATTGCAGAAGCCATCGAAAGAGCCTTAGCGAAATTTATTTATCGTAACTGTGTCAAGTGGGTTAAATCAGGTTAGTTTACAAACAATCTGGAGAAATTGTAGTGTGTTTGATCGAGCAGATAAACTATTATTTATTGAACATTTTTATAAACACGCGAGTGGCTCAAGACTCGGGCACGGCCGGACCACTCTGGCGCACTCGCGAGCTGTGACGTAAAATGATGTTTGCTGCGCGGGCGTGTGCGAACCTCCGAACGATTTCGTTACGCGACGAGTTGCTCGTTAAATCGAGCTATTTTAGCTTTCTTCTGGTTGACATTGAAATTGAACGATATGCATCGGCTGAAACTTTGGTAGAAGACGACGACTCCGCTCCGTGCAGCGTGGCGGTCTCTGGCGGTGGGTGGGGTTTTTCAGTTGGCGACTTCTAGGTCATATATTGCTCTGAAATTTTTTTATGGTTAGTACTCTATGAAAGTGTAGGCAAAATAGACCACCTGCTTCTATTCTTCGTGGAAATACGCAAAGTGTTGGGTTACCATTTCATGGTCCCTTTAAACATCATATATAGTCACGTAAAACTTGAAGTATGCTTGATTTTCACATTGAAGAATATAGAACGTGATAGCGTAATTGTGATCCTTGCGCATCGCCTTCAACCGTGCCGCAGGGAAAGGGACGTTTGCCCCCTTAGCATTGGCCGTTTAAAATATATATGTTAGAACGCCTACTACAAGAACAACTGCGAAGTACCCACTGCATCATAATTATTTCTTTTGCAAATTGGAAAATTACCCACTATACGCGTCCGTAAGAGAATTAAGCGCCCTTACGCATCTGCACACTTTATAACCTGTGGGCAGCTTTAGGTCACCCACTCGTTGCGCAAGTCATTCCACTGCACGATTTTCTTATAGCGTTTTCTGCGAAGCTGTTTTAAAAACTGGTGTGGCTCCGTAGTAGAACAACTGCTTGCTGCGCACAAGGCCGGGGTTTTATTCTCAAGCGGATCGAATACTTTTATGGGCGAAGCACCTTATAGGGTTTCGGTTCGTCGGCCTGTCATGAAGTAGTCACGGTACATCATAAACAATTCTACAGCACAAAGATGGGTTTAAGTCCCATTACTCGCCACCGGTCCACACATGCATATTATGAGGTAAATATTCGTGGTTACAGCCGAAAACGTTGTGTTTGGCTTCACAGTGCAGTTAGAATCTCCGATGATATCGACTAAGGTGTCCAAGTTGTCTTACCAAAAACTGGAGACACAAATGTGCATCTCTAGAATAAATCCCACCAACTGAAACGCCTTTTCTTGAAACCGGTTGCAAGTAATGCAGAAAAGAAAGATATTCGGCATATTCCGCGCATTTTCTAAGCGTTCACAATTTTCTACGTATGTGAGGCCCGCAGGACGGCTTTGAAACCTCCCATAGTAGAGTACCTAGTACTCTAAATTGTTACCTACCTTTTCTAAACACATATAATCCCGGCTGCGGCGGCTGCATTTCCGATGGAGGCGGAAATGTTGTAGGCCCGTGTGCTCAGATTTGGGTGCACGTTAAAGAACCCCAGGTGGTCTAAATTTCCGGAGCCCTCCACTACGGCGTCTCTCATAATCATATAGTGGTTTTGGGACGTTAAACCCCACATATCAGTCAATCTAAACGCACATCCTACTAATATCTCTGGAAACGGCGTTATTAGCAGGCCGCGTTGTAATCTTTAGGGTTGAACATCCTCTTAGTCTAACCTTGTCATGCGTGAGGCGTGACCGGCAGTATCAGACAAACAGACGGACGGACGCATGGATGGAGGCGGGGATAGACGGATAGACACTTCGTCTCCTCTAGTCATCATTCACTCCGTGCATATGCTGTGATTTTTTAATGAGTGGCAAGTCATAAAATGACGCTAAATATATGTACAAATTTGCACGTATGGACATATGTTGAACAGTTGCGGGTACTTACATGACCAGTTATTTGCACTTCTGCAACAATGCCAACAGTAACATCAGTATTAGCCACACCTGAAGCGATAAGCTGATATGAAGGGCGGGTGCTCGCGAAGATAATAGCCCTGGACACTGCTACATAAATCAACTTCAGCGAATGTCACCTAACTACGATTGACGTTAGGCCGACGTGACGCTTGTATGGGAGGAGTCATGTAATGTTTAAGAAAATAAATAGCCCCTTCCCCACCACTCTAACCACAATTTACGTGCCACAAACTATACGGTCTATTTGAAAAGTAGCTCTGAGTCCTGGCGTGACTCTGGTATAATACTTGATTTCCACGCAGAATGCTGGGGTTCGATTCCAGCTCAGATTATGATATTCACTGTATGCGTTCGTTGGGTCAACGCTGCCTGTCACAGTTTTTCTTGAAGCAAACGCGTTAAAATTACCCATGCGTGTCCTCGCCGTTCCTCGCTAGATACCAAGTTTCAATCGCTTGTGGTACGTGACATTGTTTAACGGGAAGTGCTTGGCGACGTACGCAACGGGTTTGTGACAAATATTCAAGTATTTACTAGCGCTTCATATTTGTCAAACCATTTTACCCGCCGATGCTAATTTTGGTTAACGCCAAGTTGAGGAGGTGATGACGACAGCAAGTAGTCGTAAGTGACTGGCTAGATAGATAGATAGATAGATAGATAGATAGATAGATAGATAGATAGATAGATAGATAGATAGATAGATAGATAGATAGATAGATAGATAGATAGATAGATAGATAGATAGATACCAGAAGTGCTTGAGGTGCGCGAAGAAATTCTTCGCATTAAATAAAAAACAGTTTAAACGCAAGATGGAAGCAATGAATGCGATAGCGACGAATTGTTATGGTATACGAAGTGAGGTTGGCAGCTGACTCCTTCGGATCCGGTCTCGAGCAACTCTACAAAACGCTGGTGTAACGGAATACCGCTGCTTCAAGGGCACGTTTCGCACAGTCTCTTCGTTTTGAGAGTGTATCACGTATAAAAGCATGCGAGCCACCCGCCGATGGCTGTCCAGACAGCGAGATAGTGCGTGCGCCAGTGATGACCAAGAACCTAAAATTAAAGGTCATAGTTGCTTCTCCAAGGACCCCCGCAATACCTCGCGTCTTTTCGTGCTGCCTAAGCCAAGATGGAGTTTCCTCCTTATCGCAGGCTTCTATCGAGCGACAGAGATGGGCCGGCTTGTTTGATCTCTGCTTCAGCCGCGTTCATCGCCCCTCTCGCACGTTATTATCCGTGGGTAGAACGTATGAAGCGTGGGGATCTTATGAACTTAGACTTTATTCCAGACATGACAGCGATAGCAACGGAAACAGCAGTGGCAAAAACCCGTCGAGATTGTCTATATCGTTGCTATAAGAAGAACATTCTGCGCGAAAAAAATCGAAATAAGGGGACTGCAGGCTGCTGTGAGAAAAGTAATATTGGATGGGATATAACAGACATCATTGATAGGCAAAACTGCCGATTGTTTGAACACGCTTTAAAATTCGAACGCTTACACGGTACCCCCATGAACCCCATAGAGCCGATGTATGACACCTTGTGAAGTTTCCGACGCTAAAAAAAAATCTCCTAAGTCTCCACTTTCTATTCTGTTGCATCTCCGAAAGGGCATTGACAGTTCCAACGCCGTTCCCATGCTATAGCGGACAGTCAGCTTTGCCGCAGCGCAATCTCGTGCTGCGTTGAAGCATATTATAAATCCGAAGGGGCTATGGGGCACGTTGAGGATGTTGGTGGGGGCTCGGCAGCTTGAATTTCTTGTTTTGTTCTTGATTTTCAAACATTGTGCTTTTCATTAACTTTCAGTGCGAACATCAACCAGCCGGTATTTATTGTTACAAGCCATAATGCGGCATGATTGTGGTAAGCGTGTGATTTCACAACACAAAAAACACATAAAAGTTGATGGTCCAGCAGCTTCCCATTGTGATAAATGGTATATTGTTCAAACCTGTGTCCTTATATGTGGGTTCGACTGTGGTACGATGAGTGATTGTGTGCACATAGTCTAGCTTTCAGTAAATCTAGAGATCAGTACTTATGGGTTTCGGAAATCCTGATGTCAAATTCCCTTCAGAAATGAACTTTATGTATCATACCTGATAAAAGCACATGTGCTATCTACATGCATGATTGCATCGTGCGTACTCCTGGCCCTCACCTTTTCTAACCCTTTCCACCTTCGACTATAACTACCAACGCAGAATAAACGATGGGGTTTACCTGTTTCTCGACAACCCAGCTGTCCAGTCTGTTCATTCCACACGCGAATGAAACATGGTGTCAGAAGTGGGCAACGTATAAGAAACGACATGGATCACCTGAGGCCGCCTGAACCGCTACGTTTGACAGCTGATGGAGGAAGGAACTGGATGCGGTTTTGTCAGCAGTTCGAATTTTTTCTGCAAGCGACGGCATACCAAGCTAATCCGAGGTCGAAAGCAGCGAAAACGGCCCTGCTCCTCAGCGGTGCGGGAGAGGGAGCCTTGGACGTTTTCAACAATTTTGTGTTCAGCGGAGAAGAAAACAAGGAGGATTTCTGCACCGTAATTGCTAAATTCGAAGATTACTGCCTGGAGCAACAAAATGAAATACACGATCGAGCGATACGTGTTCCGTTCCCGCAGTCAAGGTGAGGCGGAGCCCTTTGAGCAGTTTCTACGCGAGCTTAAAAAACAAGCGCAGCACTGCAACTTCGGGACCATGGCGGATGACATGGTGCGAGACCAAATTGTTTTTGGAACAAACTTGCCAAGGCTTCGAGAAAAGATGCTCAGGGACAAAAACTTGACCTTAGAAAAAGTAATCATCCTGTGCAAGGCGGTGGAAACATCAGCTCGTCAAAATGAATTTTGGCAGAAAACAAAGGAAGAACTCGATAGGAACGCTGTCACAGCCAGTAAGAGCACCCCTAGAGGGTCCAAGAACGACCTAAAATGCAATCGGTGCAACCGAAGGCATGCCTACAAATGCTGCCCGGCATACTGAAAAGTATGTTACTCGTGTAATGGCCACAACCACTTCGCGTCTTGTTGCAGTGAGAAAGAGCGCGTGTATGAAGTGCAACATCAGAGCGACGACTTCGAAGTACTGAATGTCGCCAGCAGCTGCGCAAGCAGAGAACGGGACTGGCGTGGGAACGCATGCATTGGCGGCAAGTACATCCCCTTTAAGGTGGACACGGGATCGCAGGCCAATGTTCGGCCACTTTCAATGTTTCGCAAGCTCAAGACGACAACCCTGATGCCCAGTAGCGCAGTTCTGAGATCATATGATGGCAACACGATCAAGCACATCGGCAAGTTTTCAGCGCTTATCGGGATTGGTGGTCGCAAGGCGTGCGCAGAATTTTTTGTAGTAAAGGACCACAGCACTATCTTAGGATTGGACACCAGCGAGAAGTTTAGAATCTTACAGCGGGCTGTTGAAAGCGTGACGACGAACGACACCGAAGAAATTGTCAACGAGTTTCCACGTCTTTTCCACGGAACAGGATGCGCCCCACGTGAATACAAGATTGAGCTGCACAGGGATGCCGTGCCAGTCGTCCAGCCAGCTTGGAGGGTTCCCCTGTCCCTGCGTGAGCCTCTACGTACTGAACTGGACAGAATGAAAAAGGAGGGCATCATCCAGAAGGTCAGCAGCCGCACAGATTGGGTAAGCCCCCTTGTCATTGTACTAAAGAAAGATGGCAAATTGTGGGTCTGCATGGACCCTAGACGCATCAACGAAAACATCAAGAGGGAACACTACCAAATGCCGCGCCGAGAGGATATTGAAGCAGACTTGGCAGGTGCGAAGTTCTTTTCGCGGCTTGACGAAAATGCGGTATTTCATCAAATTGCATTATACGAACAATCGTCGAAGATATGCACATTCGCGACGCCTTTCGGCCGGTATCGCTTTCTTCGTCTACCGTTCGGTATAGCGTCGGTGAGCGAAGTGTTTCAAAAGACCCTTAACGAGGTTTTTGATGGTCTTGCCGGTGTACGCGTATACGTAGACGATGTGTTAATATCGGGAGGAACCAGGGCTGAGCATGATGAGAGCCTGCGCAGAGCATTAAAAAAAGCTGAAAAAGCAGGCCCTACCTTCAATGCATCCAAATGTCGCTTCGGCCAGCAAGAAGTGCTCTTTTTGGGTGACATCATTAGCGACAGGGGTATTAGGCCGAATTCTGATCTTGTTGACGGTCTTTTGAAAATGCCAAGACCTCATGACAAATTGGCTGTACAAAGGCTACTAGGAGTAGTTAACTACTTAAGCAAGTACCTACCAGCTCTCTCACAGCGTACGTCTACTTTACGTTCTCTCATGAAACATGGTGCCATCCTTGATTAGACACCAAACCACGAAAGCGAATGGCAGGCTAAATGCCGGGATTTAAGTAATTCCCCAGTGCTTGCTATATTTGATCCCAATTGGGAGACAAAGGTAACTGCAGATGCCTCTCAAAGTGGGGTTGGCACGGCACTTCTGCAACGTCATGGAGACTGCTAGCGGCGGGTTGCCTATGCGTCGAGAGCTTTGACAGAATCGGAGCAAAGATATTCACAGATTGAAAAAGAGGCCTTGGCTGCAGTTTTTGGTTGTGAAAAATTCCATCATTTTGTTTATGGCCACACCATCACCCTCGAGAGTGATCAGTCCGCTGATAGACATATCAAAGAAAGGCATAAGCGATATGCCACCCAGAGTGCAACGATTTTTCTTGAGATTGATGAAATATGATTACGCGCTCGTGTACATTCCTGGTAAACAAATGTCCCTTGCTGATATGCTGTCCTGATCACCTGTTCCTGGATTCAAGGGAGCTGCAGGCACGAGTGACGTCGAGATCCATGCCGTTACGGTCGTATCAGCACTCGTAAGTGAAACGACAGCTAGAAAACTTGCACAGGAATCGGCTCTCGATCCCTATCTTGGCACAGTGCTAAGAAAGCTTGCCAAAGGAGAGCCTGTCGATGGCCCCCTGAAACCGGTGGCCGCCGAGCTATCCGTAGTAAACGGCATACTATCGAAAGGCACTAAAGTGGTGATGCCGACAAGCATGCGTAGCAACATGTTGAAACGGATCCACGCAGGCCATCTTGGCCAGGCAAAGTGTAAAGCTAGAGCAAGACTAATGGTTTATTGGCCAAATATAAACTCGGAAATTCAGTCCTTGATCGGAAGATGTCCAACTTGCAAGACATACGCCTATAAGCAGCCATCGGACCCTTTAATAATGCAGCCAACGCCTACTCAGCCATGGTACCGTATTGGTGTCGATCTCTTTCAGTAATCGGGAAGACATGATTTGTGCGTCTATGACTTGATGTCCAATTTCCCTGAGGTGGAGCTACTGCCCGGTACAACAGCCAGTACTGTCATCGATAGACTGGGTGCAATATTTTCAAGGTACGGCATACCAGCCGAGGTTTCTACTGATAATGGATAGGAGCTAAGAGTTCATTAGTTTCAGAGTGTAGGCCCGTGTGCTCAGATTTGGGTGCACGTTAAAGAACCCCAGGTGGTCGAAATTTCCGGAGCCCTCCACTACGGCGTCTCTCATAATCATATGGTGGTTTTGGGACGTTAAACCCCACATATCAATCAGTTTCAGAAAACGTTACGGCTTTAAGCATGTGAAATCAAGCCCGCGGTACCCGAAATATAACGGGCTCGCAGAACAGGGTGTACAAGTTGTAAAACGCATCCTAAAGAAAACAAAAGCTGCAGGCGAGTGTTTCTGGCTGGGCTTGTTGAATTACAGGGCGAGTCCTGTTGAAGATGGCCCGTCTCCGGGCGAACTCTTGCAAAGACGGCGGCTGCGCACACCATTGCCGGACTTCAATCCAGTGTCAGCAACGCTCGTCAAGAAACACCGGCAGAGAAGTCATCATAGGCGCACCCTACCTGGCCTCTGCGACAATGACGTGGTTCGCTTGAATAGGACACCATGGGCAGCGAAAGCCAAAGTGATCGGATCAGCCGGCCCACGGTCCTTCTACGTACACACAGAGAACAACACCGTGCTGGGGCGCAACCGTCGGCACCTTCTGGCGACGAAGGAACCATATAGTGTTGGTTCACCAGACGACGAAGATTTTGCCAACAACCACATCCCATTTCAAGGTGAGGCGTCATCGACCACCGCAGCCTCACCCGCGTAAGCTCAGCAGCCGTCGCCTCAACCACTGAGACGCAGTCGACGACAGACGCGGCCGCTAGAGCGTCTGGGTTATGACCAGCAGTTCCAGCAGACAAGCCAGCGGCATTAATTTCGTCAACTGTTTGGAAGGAGTATGTATCGTATCTGATGAAAGCACATGTGCTATCTACATGCATGATTGCCTCGTGCGTACTCCTGGCCCTCACCTTTTCTAACCCTTTCTCCTTTCGACTACAACTACCAACGCAGAATAAGCGATGAAGTTCACATGTTCCTCGACAACCCAGCTGTCCATTCTGTTCATTCTACACGTGAATGAAACACTTTATGCGAGATATAGGAACGGCCTCTTTTCAAACAGCAATTTAGCTTACTTGCCCTTGTGTTGTCTCTCCTCAAAACTGTGAAGCTCGCTACTTTGGCATCTGGGTTGACATCACACCACGCACGTGGTTCGCGGCGTTAAAACAAGGAACTGCCCGCATAAAACGTGACTCTTGTTGTGAGGCCATTTATCTCGGAGAAAGTACTCGTCATGTTGATGGCAGAAGAGGGATGACGGAAGCTGATGATGAACAGCCAACCTGTGTGACTCATGCTCACAACTCTTTTCAAAGATATTTCATGGCGGTATTGACGTTATACTTGTCTAGTATAGTCATGGCGGCTGGTAGTAAGTTTGTTGTTGTCGTTCTTTTCCTTTGCACATGGCTTGTACCCATTGGAGGGTATTGGCCGATTGTAAGGTGAATTTTCCCGATACTTTCCGCATTCCTTCATTCCTAGAAACGCTAGGCTTGTTTTCATTTTGGCTTGCCAACATATTGTTTCAAGTCAGCGAGATGAAAAATTCTCTATTGGTTTCACACGATCAGACATTGCTAAACCTCTAGTAAAAAAAAAGTAAGATCCTTTGGACCTTCCATTTTATTTTGTTGTTAATCCATGTTTTACCAATACTTTCTTTTTTAAGCATCTAAATGTAAGCCTATTCGGCCGGTAAAACGTTTTTGTCTCTAAAATAAGGAACTGCCCGTTTCATGGCCGATCCGACCCAACGTAGCGTTGCAACACTGAAAAGCCAACCAGCCAAGCAACCTTGGGAATCGATGTCATACGAAGCATGCGCAAGGAAGGTGACCTTGTTGTCCTTTTTTTGTGTAGAGGACTGTTATGAAACGGCGCTAAACACATTTACAAGTGTACACGCACAGATTGATATATTGGACTTTGCATGTGTTTTAGATGAAGGCTTGTTTACCGTTCCGCAACGTTGCCAAGAGCAACGTGGGTATTAGCAACACCAGAAGCACTAAGCTGAAATGAAGCGCTTGTGCTTGCGCGTGTGAAAGCCCTGAATAGCACACAAAGAGTGGCGCTAAAGTACAGTACGTAGACAAACTTCTGTTACGTAGACAAACTTGGAAATGGCGCTAAACTACAATCAGCGCCCTGCCGACGTGATCCCTGTAATATTTCAGAACACAAGTATTGTTTATAAAGTTAAATGAGCTACTCTGACCACAGTTGACGTTTCACCATATTACGCCTAGATAGGGTCATTTTCCAAAGGAGTTTCGAGACCTGGCATGGCTCTGTGATATATAGAATAATTCACCGCCACGCAGAATGCTTGGATTTGATACGTGCCCGGAACGAATCGTCACATATATATATATATATATATATATATATATATATATATATATATATATATATATATATATATATATATATATATATATATATATATATATATATATATATATTCTGCATCCAATGGGTCAACGCTGCTGATGTCAGCTCTTAACGCTACTAATGTTCATTCTCACCGTTATTCGGTATATATAAACTTTCAGACGCCTGTGGCGCATACCTCAATACAACGACGTGTAGTATACGGATATCTACCACACGTGTCTAGAGCAGAGAGCTTGCGACGGGATTTTCACATTATTCATGTCGTCACCACAGTCATAATCGTCGAATCCTCCATACTTCGCATACTAATTTTGGTCTACCCCATGTTAAGGAGGGGACCATGAGAGAACCCAGACGTAGGCAAAGAAATGCGTCGCATTTAATACGGTGTTTTACATGCCAGACGTGACGTAGAGGAGGGCTCCGTTTATTTCAACCGTCTGGTGTTCTTTGGCGCGCACCGACCTCACATCGTACGCGGGACACTTCCGCTTCGCCATCATCGAAACGGGACTACCTCGTCAGCTTCGAGTCGGCAGCCGATCGCTGTAGCCACTGTTTCACTAAGGCAGACTCTGCAATCTATAATGAACCTGAAGTACCCGACGTAGCGTTGCAACACTGGAAAACCTGAACGGCGGGAAGAACGCAGCAGCATGTTACCAGTAATCGTGAACGTCCACGATGGTGCCTTATAACAGTTCAGACCAAGTCTTACCTGCATTCGGCCCGTAGATGTGAATCAAATTGGCGTAATTCGAGTAGGGTCGCAGAAAATTGTTCAAAGAAAGTTTCAAGTGTTCTGCGGTTGCAGTTTATTGCACCGGCAGGTGAAGTTGGTGAAAGCGCTCATTGTGCGACGTGACATTCCATTATTAACGAGAGACCACTTCTTGCTCCGAGTATGTTTTATGCAGTCGTTACTTAACATGTAACGCAGATCGTCAAGAAGAGTGCGCGAGACGAACAGTCACATAACCTAATCACGCACGTGCGTGTGTATTAGGAGCGCAATACAATAATCACACAACCTTTGATTGCAAGGTGGCTATAGTTGCATATATGCCGTGAAGAGCCCACTCGCATGACACGACGCGCGAGTTGCTAGTCGTGCCGTTCTTATTCAAGGACTGCGCGTGTAGTACGCCACTCACACTGGTGGTCGGGAAAACAAAAAGAACCTGCGCGCATTGTGACATCAGGTAATCTTGAAGATGAACGGCTAAAAGTTATTTAAAACATCGACCGCTCAAGGCAAGCAGTTTGCTTGTCACGAGTTAGCCGCTGGCTGTATACTTGCTCAGAGGCAAGTCTTGCATGCTTAAAAAAAATGTTGGCACAACAGCTAAGCTGTGCCATGACAAACTTAAATTAACAAAAGAGAACTGATGCGAAAGGAAGTCATTACAACTGATACAAAATAAATCTAATTTTACAGTTGCTAGAAAAACGTGCACTTTTTCTGCGGGTTCATTGGTGTGTCAAGTTCGCAATTGAAGGCGCTGGCGAACTTGTCCATTTGTCGCAGGGGCACATTGCACGCCTCCCCGGTGCTGTTGACGGCGCAAGTCGTCAGGCAGTAGCTGAGGAAAAAGATCTGGTCGTCGTCATAATCGTCCAGACCGTGCAGGCGCCGTTGGACGTATCCGTCCGAGGCGATAGCCTCGCGGTGCGCGATGAACGACGTCGTCAGCGCCGGCGCTAATGGGAACAGGGCCGAGAAGCGCACTTCTCGAGGGTCGCGGCTTCCGGGTGGCGGTGTACTGGAGGTGCCTGCGCCAGAGCCACCAGTCTTCGGCTCTGATAAGAAATCGCAGCTAACACGCTCCGTGTAGGCTGGCGAGTCCCACCAGTGCTCTCTCCTTCCCAAGTCGTTGACGAGGACGCCTCGCTTGTCGAAAGAGCGGACCAAGCACTCCGCGATGAGGGTGCCGAAGGTGCCGTACGTCATCGCCATGGTTCCGTGCAGTGAGAGAATGGGAGGCTCCATGGCGCCCAGCGACATGTAAGCGATGTTGTAGTAGTAATTATATCGGCTGGGCGCGCCACCACCGAGCCGTTTGGAGTAAACGCTTATGAAGCTGTCGTGGCCAATGAGGAGGCGGTAGGCGGCGGCCACGGCGATGTAGTTGCTTATGAACGACAGGCCAATAGTCGGGAAATCCCGGTACAGCCGAGCTAGATTGGCGACGTTGAAAAAGTTCTCCTCTGGCATCGCGTTAAGCGTCAGCTCGTCTATTTTGACCTTAGCCTTATTCTTGACGGTTTCGTCGATCCACGCGGCATCTTGAATCTGCTGTTTGAGCGCTTCCTGAATGCTGTGATGAAAGCGTTGGAGATTGGCACGCACAGCTGGCGTATAGCGCGAGTAGATGTGCTGGACGGCAACGAGGAGACCGAAGTTTGCCGTCGTGTATGATAGGCAGGCCCGCTTCCAGAAGTTGCGGTTCGCCTCGGGGTCGGTCCCGTAGCGCATTTCAGGTTTCCCCGCGAACAGCCACAGGGTCGTTCGGATGAAAACAAACGCGAAGCCTTCGAGGAGCGTCTGCTTCTTGTCCCTGTACTTCTGCTGCAGCGCATAGAGGTTCTGCAGTATCAAGTCGTCTTCTAGTGCCACGGGGCTGTCGAGTGTCCACGTGAACTGAGGACTGTGCAGGATGTTTAGGTGCCTGAGCCAGTCGCCCGCCCGTTTGGGCATCAAATGCTCGATATCCTTGAGCTTGAACTGCGTGTCACTCGTGGCGTCCGGCGGGACTTTCAGGGCAGCATTTACAATGTCATCCACTGTGTTCCTGAGTTCCTGGATGCTCGAGGAGGATGGCGCCTCGACTCCAAGTGTACGGCAGTGCATCCTGACGGAATCGGCAAACGTTAGTGCAGTCCATTTGGGGTCTAGCCAGTTTGTGTTCAATATACCTCGCCTGATATACAGCGTCTGCGGCCTCCGCTTGTAGGCGGGCAGCGCTCTGAGGTGGAAAAGGAGGTTGATATTCCACGTGATGGTCATATTCAGCAACGGCAGCAGAGCGTCTATGCCCACCTGCCGTTTCTCGGGCCACGATAAGCCGAGCTGATTCTTGAACTCAATGAACACTTCGGCCTCGGCCGGCGTCATGTCGCGTCGACGAATGCAGCTCCTGTAGTAGTCAGGTGCCTTGGGCACCACGGCCTTATCTCTGGAACCCTCCTCCATCTCTTCGATGGCATCTGTGGTCGACTGTTCGAAGACTTGCGCTACCATAGACCTCCCTTTGCCCTTCGGCTTCCAGGAACCGCAAGTGAACTTGTAAAAGTCTTCGCATGGTTTGACGCGGGTGTTCATTGCCTCCTTGAGCTCGAGGGCGTGCCTTATACAATCGGGCGTGTTGCAGAACTCTATAGTGGGCTGAGATATGAACCACGCGAGGAATATCAGCAGTGATGCGCAGGCGATGAAAATCGTTGTCGCGGCGACGATGACGATCACTTGGATTCTCTTCATTCGGCTGCGGGACATTGTGCCACTCTAGAAAATAATCAAGAGAAAGAGGTGATCTTGTGACTAACTGGCAATCAGGTAGTCGGATAATTTAAGAAGATTGTGATTTGTACGTCGCGAAACTAAACATTGTACGATGGACGTTATATTAGGTTAGGAGGGAGAGGTACTTGGGAATTACTTTGACTGGCTGGACTCGGCAAGGAGCCCATATGATGTGGCATATTACTTTTCTTCTGTAGCCTTTCGATGGGCCTCTTTTGGCGGTTGTTAGGATATTCTAACCACCGCAGGTCTATTTGCCGAGGGTTCATTAACTTAATTAAACGTGTCTACCCCACTACGTACCCGAACGCGCGCACCTTTTTTGTGCGCCATCCTTACTGTGCTGTAAATGCGTCGCGACTCATGACGCATTTACAGAACCGGGTGATTGTTCAATGCGGCATCGGTGTTGGATCAACGTATTAGGTGACGCGAAATGTGTAACTATGGTACCTCCATTTTAATTTATCTAAGCTTTTGTTTAGATAAATTTCGAGGTGTTCAATAAATTCGAAATATATAGAAGCGCAGGTTGCTACGGGACCCCTTTATGACGACTATAGTTAGGTGTGAAGGCTTTGACTAGGCAGAGGGAAACGAACATAAGAAATCCTTTATACACGTGCCTTCAAAAAGAAATAAAAAGACGAGTGCCGTTACCTTAACAATTCTCAAATTGAACAGAGAATCCATTATACAAGTGTAAGAAAAAGCACATGAAACATCTCAGCTAGACATGCAAGCTGCTTGCTATACTGAATACTAAGGTGATTCAAATTGTGATAGTGAGTCAGTTGTATCGGGCAGATTGTCCCAGTCGACTATCGTTATATGAAAGCAAGTTCTTGAAACAGTTGACACGTGTAGTCAAGGGAGTAACAGCTAGTGAGCTTGTGTGCCTGGTAGCGTGGCCTGTCATATATGCAAGATGCGATGTGTCAATCTTGTACTAACCTTTTATCAACTGTAAGAAGAATTTTACGCGACATACACGATTTCGGTTACTTCTACTTATTGTATATGAATCTAACAGCTTTTTTTCTGTAAGCTTTCTAATCGTGCTATGTCTGCTTTAGTGAACGTATCCCGTATAACGACGGCGTATTCCAAGACAGGACTGACAAATGTTTCATATGCCAACAAATGCACTGCTGGTGTGGACGATTTTAATACGTGCCTTAAAAAAAAAACAACTTATGCCTGCAATTTGCTAGCACTTTATCAATGTGTTTTGACCACGAGAGATCACTTGCTATGTGGAAGTCTAAGTATTGTGTAACTTCTGATAGGAGGTCTTCCGTGCCATAGCAATATATTAGTGGCGTTTTTTAATGATACTCGCATGTACACAGTCATGCATATTCGCTATTGCTTTCATCGATGAACTACAATCTTAAAAAATATATATATATATATATATATATATATATATATATATATATATATATATATATATATATATATATATATGGGGGGGGGGGGGCTTGCTTACCCGCATTCCTTCTTGTTCAATCAAGAGTTCGCCCCAGATCTTAGAGCTGTCCTATAGACACACAAGAGAGAAAAAGAGATGTGAATAATGTACTCCAAAACTTGCAGGAATAAAAAAATTGGGCCCAGAAATATCAAGAAATCGTAAAACTTTTAAATTTATACGCGTCGTTTTGTATGTTACTGCTACATCTTGAAAAGCAGAAAGAATAACACGAATTTCGATTAGTATAATAATTGAGATTTCAAATAAGAGTTAACGCAAGCACACGAAATAGAGGATTTCTGAGAGCATGTCATAGTGCCGTTTCAACCGCGGAGCTGTTTATGCTAGGATAAATATAAGGAAAGAGACAAAAGCAATAAGAAAGGCCGTCCAGCTCCCCTGTTATCCTCCTCTCTCATCCACACCACCTGTGCACGAGAGCGAGCTACCATTGGATGATTTCTTTTTCTGGCACTATGAATCACACTGCTCTCACCAACTCCCTCCTCTCCACACCACCTGTTCCGGTTACGTCATAGCTCCAGACTCCGGTGAGCCTTCATATTTTCAACGTTGCTACCCTTGCTCTATCAGGCTTAACTCGCTACACATGGCTTCCCTGTAAACCACTTAGCTTTACTGATTGTCTTTTGTTCGTCCGATTTAGCTCACGCAACTGGGCTAAAAAGTGGACAACACTCCCTAGGGGTTCACCTCGTTACGCCTAAATTGCCCGCCGCGGTGGTCTAGTGGCTAAGGTACTCGGCTGCTGACCCGCAGGTCGCGGGATCTAATCCCGGCTGCGGCGGCTGCATTTCCGATGGAGGCGGAAACGTTGTAGGCCCGTGTGCTCAAATTTAGGCGCACGTTAAAGAACCCCTGGTGGTCGAAATTTCCGTAGCCCTCCACTACGGCGTCTCTCATAATCACATGGTGGTTTTGGGACGTTAAACCCCACATATCAATCAATCAAATCGTTACGCCTAAACAACGCAGAGACCTAAATTTATTTGTGCGCGTTCGTGGAAGACTGTTCAAAAAACTCGGAACCACGAGTATTTGTCGACACTGTGCCGTAATAACAGAGTAACACGCGTTTGATGTTCCAAAAGCGTTTCCTCATCGGCTCGTGTTTCCTTCAGGCTGAGTGCTTCTCCACGTACGTGAAGGAAGAACGGCGAGCGCGCAGACCTTTGAGTAGACAAAGAACTTCATCTCGTTCCTGGAATTACCAGATGCAAATGTTGATGACACGGCCCACACTGGGGGTCGCTGGACGGCCCTATGAGCAAAAAAGAATTTCTTGGAATTTCTCGCATGTCCGTGGCTCTTAATTTGCGGTGCCGCGTTGGGCATTCCTCATCGTGACGCCAAGACAAACTCGATGCTCGAGTTTAATTGGCATGTTAAACTTTGGGAGGTTCTTTAGGGGCTCCACAAACAGCCACGCCGTTAAAGGCGTTTTACTTGGTGAAAAACCGGCTGGAAGTTGACGCCCGTCTTGATGCGCAGTGTATGTAGTTTGCGTGGCTGACTCACCTTCGGCACAGCTACGCTTCCAACGGTGGAAGACCTCGCAGTCGACGTGAGTTCTGTCGGCTTTCCCGTAAAACGAGTTGTCTGTTCGCGAGCGGGAAAATAAAAAAAAACTAAAAAAGAACAAGATGAGGTAGCGCGCCATGTGCACTACGTACGATGACTAATGCACGACTCGCATTAGTATTCTATTCGTTACCGGCATTCGCGAAAATGCCTTCCTAAGCAAAAGGCATATAGTTACTTAACACTATGAGGATACGGCCAACAAGGAAGATTCACTATACACATTAATGTCCTCGTCCTCACCAGTGCTAAGTAACTGCAATCTCATGATGCACCAACTAGCCCACATCAGCACGCTCGTGAACTTTATTAAGCAAATTACAAAGCAGCAAACTGCTTATATAGAGTGAGCAGCAAAAGCCAGCTTGAGCGGCTGGTGCGTTAAGAAAACGGTGGTAGGAAGATCGTGCAGCAGGCGGCTGCTTAGTTCTAGGTGCTCAAAGTTTTGCAATTCAAATATATTTAGAAGAACTGACAAGTGGTCAAGTTTGTATGAGTTATTACTACTGAAACGGCGTCACACGGTACTCTGGTTTCGTTGTCCATTCTCGTGCTTTTGTCTTACTTTGGGGCGTCTGTTCAGTTGTATGATATAATATAGATTTTTGCGTACACAGTAATTTGTACAGTAGTTATTGTTGTTTGGGAATCATTTACAATGTAAGACCTTGGATTTATTGGCAATGTCTTGGCAATATTTCTAGTTGAGGTCCTCGTTTGTGGACAGCTATTTTTACTCTGTAAAAAATTCTTTGAATGTGATAGCGTTAAAGAGCTCGTTTCGCAGAAATCCCGGCGTCGGCGTTGTTCATTGTGAGCGAAAAGGTATAATCTTTGCGTGACCGAAAAATAGACAAAGGTGCCAGTAAAATAAATAATGAAAAATTCCGGGTGTACGCGTCGGGTTCAAAACCGCGACGTTTGCCTGCCCAGCGGGTTTTATACCACACAGCCACAAAACTACTAGTGAATACAGTGAAAATAACTTCCTCTGCTTCGAATTGCAGTGAAAGTAACAGCCGTTTTTTTTTTTAACCAAACTCAAGCGTCCTGTATAGATGCTTCACAGTGCAACATGAAATATTGCCGTAAGAATGCGTAAAACAAGCGTGCATTGTCATCGGGCGTCGGAACATGGTATTTTCATGATGACTTCATAATTTATAGCCAGTCACCTACTACAAGCATCCATAAGGCCACGTAGGTGGGGCATAACAAGTTCGAAAAGATTTCATACACAAAGCATTTTAAGTACGCACTAGGAACGGCAACAGTATCGCTATCGCGTTTAACTCTTAAAAGCGAAGCTTGAGTGTCCCCCAATTTTTAGTCGCTGTAAAATTTTGCACACTGGGGCTTCCTTTGAAATACCAAAACAAATCAACAGTTACTTATAGCATGATATAGTTGTAGGCAATGAATTAGGACACCTTGACAGGCTGCAATCAGAATGGCTGCAGTATAGCGATTATATATTACGTCTCGGATTGTGACGTGCCCGCAACCATATGCCATTATAACGAGGCACCTCGTGGTAGCGGCCTCCGAGCTGGGCCCTCGACCTGCCATGCCACTGCGAACGATGTAGTAATACTGGGCGAGTTGGATAAACTTGATATCTAAGGCTGCGCAAGAAGCCATCACAAGATAACGAAAACCACGGGACAAGGCGCTGGGCCCATTGCGCTGTGGTCTTCTTTGTCTAGTGCTGTTACTTTTCGTGCCGCGTAGCGCTGATCACCGTGTATCTTCGAGAGGCCACGTTTTCGCGGCAATGATAATACGGTGTCAACTTGAGCGACCGCTGTCGCGTTGCGCGCTCGCTCGAAGTTCCCCACACAGAGCATGTAGTACCTGCTGTGCTCAGCCTCGCGAACGATCGCACACATACAGG